AGCATCTTTTCCCTACCTTAAATCTGTGTTATAGAACCTGAAGCTAAGAAGCAATTAATTGTTCAGGATGTCTGCAGCATACACCATACCTTATTCACCAGATTTTCCATTCCCACCAACTACTTACGATATGGAAGCTCAAAAAGCTTCAGATCTTTCACTTTTTGAGTGTATAGCCCTGTGCATGGGAAGGAATAACCCAGACACAAGAGGCTGTGGGGCCAAATATTTAGCCCTAGTCCTGGGCTCCCATCAGCCCCCTTGCATATGTACTGAAAGACAATTTCTTTAATAGGGAGAGTTTTCAATCTGGGGAGGCCCCCTTCGTCGTTTAGAAGCCTTCTATTGCTTTTAAAGTCTACATTTCAAGCATGAGAATTATTTATTAATATAGACTCGGTGCTCAGTGTAGTCCAAGAAAAGCTAAGGCCTGTTGCATTCTTTTCTCAAATGTAGAATGCTCTCTTTCCTAAGAGAATGAACGGGGATGTGGAGAGAGCTTTGCAGAGAATAAAGCAATTTATATTTTCCAGATTTAAAAAAAATGGTCATACAAGGGCTAGTGTGGATGGAATGAAACAGCTGAGACCACCAGTGTAATCATGCTGATGCTCACCTTTCAGGAGGGAAGTGCCCCAAACATGGGAGGCGTAGCTGAGGTTGCTGCTTTGCACTTTGCAAAACAATAAGAAATAATGTGAAGACAGATTATATTTGAACTTTCTGTTTCTCTCTCTGTCCCTACTTTTTTTGTACCCCACTGCTCTGATGAAAACATGTGGGGAGCTCCAGAGTTTGCACAATTTTCTGGCACTTGATCCTAATAAAGGTATTGCTAAACTCCATAGACTCCCCCTTTTCTAATAGGCTGGCATGGCTACTTTGGTTTTGGGATGGGAGCCAAAAATGTATTCATACAATCTGTGTTCTGGAAAATGGGGAGATATGGTTTTTATGTTCTGGAAAACTGGAAGATATGATTTTTATGTCTAAACGAGGCAACTGAGAGAGACCGCTGTTATTTCTGTCCCAATTTTGTATTCCTTGGTTCGTTGTCACAGAACTATCCAAAATCTTTTAAAATGGAAAATGCCAAGGACTATGTTTCACACTCCCAAGCTGTTCAGTATATATACTAGTTAAGTCCTTCTACTTGGACTGGCTGGTGAATCACTGTGCATTTTTCAAAACAGAAACAGCAGCTTTTAATACCATCAGAGGCCCTGATGCAAATGGGCTTTTTCAGGCTAAACGAAACTATAGCTATGTATTCAGAAGTGGTGCTCCCTCAAGTGCTAAAAGCTATATCTTTGACACAGGATATGTTTTTTTCTCACTTTCTATTTTGTACGTAGCTATACTTTTTTTTCTGATTGTAAACATGAACTTATTTGCAAGTCTGATTGCTGAAGAAATGCTGTTACTAGAAGGAAAATGTATCATTGCTGAGAACATAAGATTTCTCACAATGTCCCGGTTTCTGCAACCTCATTCATCTGTTGTAATATCACATGGCACACCTGAAAATTTATTCTGCTGTACGGGACAAGAAATAATTCCTGCTTTATTGGACTTGAGGGCACCAGCATTAGAATTACTTCTTTGTAGGTTCAGCTGATGAAGCAGGGAAGAGAAGAGTCTCTGACAAGTTCATGCATGCTCCCTGGCTCCTTCACCCTATCAAAGGCATGACATGAACTGTACTTTTAAGATCATGGCTTATCTAGCTGGGAATAAGCAGTATGTGTGCGCTTCAACCTAAGAATTCATGTCTTCAGAAGCTTGCATAGCAAGATGAGCAAAGGATGTTTAGGGAAGTGAAATCTTTATTTTTATAGAAAACTAATTAAATTGTGCTTCTCTTGACTGGTTGCTTTCTCAGTTCATATAGACCCTGGGATGAATGTCATAAGGTACTGTTGTATATATTAGTGATGTAGAGATTAACAGCTACAGAGTATAACCAGACAGAATGGCATCTGAGAAAAAAAAAATTATACACCTTAATCATTGATTTACAGAGCAAAGCAAATATTATTCGTTTTATTTATTTATTATGAGCACAATCATGGTGCAGTATTGTTAGCCGTAGATTAATTGCCATTGTTGCTTTGGTACTTTTCCCAGACAAAGTTTTGCTCTCTTTTACAGAAGCATAAACAGAGGCATAAAGTCCAGTTGCCTGGGTAAAGTGAAAACTGCATTTGCTGAATATCTACCTGCTGCACAAAATTTATCAGTGGCAATTATATGTATTAATAATGTACGTGTGCCACATACAGCTTCAGCCTGGAAAACTTAGTCCTGCTGTGATTTAACCATGAGGTAACTTTTGTACTCCTTTGCTCATTAACAAGCAGTTATGATTATGGGAATCCCCAAACATTGGAGTAATTACTGCCAACCCACATACGAGGATGAACTGGGAGAAGCTGATTCTCATCAGCCCTCAAGTGAAACATCAAACGTCTGGTTCCAAAAGAAAATGAAACGATAGCCCATTTCTTGTCTGGAATGGGAGAGGTATGTTTAGCAGCAAAGTCCAGATATGAATGACAGTGCCTAGTTTACTTTGTTTTGTCTATCACAACGATTAAACATTCACACATGAAAGAAATTTCAGTGTGTATAATCCACAGATTTATAAATTGAGGCTACAGACCTAATGTTTGATTTAAAGTGAAAATAGAACTATTTCTGAATTTTAGGTCTTGAAGAACTGTCTATAAAAACAAGTCTGTGTTGTTTGTGCCAAACAACTGGCAGACACTTGATCACTATTTTTAATTTAACACAGGAAGGAACACCAGCTGATTGTCATCTCCCTCAATATCCATGGGAAACTTAGGAACCTATAATTAACCCAAATAGACTGTAAATATTATCTATTTTTATTCAAGAGTGCAAATGAAAAAGCACTCACCTGTCTTTATTCAAAAATGCTTTCCAGATAATTAAATGTATAATGAGGCAATTTCTTTATTAGGACTACTCAAAATCATGTTTCTACTGTGTCACCATAGTTACATTAAAATAAGGTACAGCAATATAGGAAATTATGTTTACAGTGAACTGCCAAGTGATCAAGAAACTATTACATGCTTAGCCATAAGAACAAGAGGCTGACCGCTCAGCTGACCACTGTGATGAATTTGCATGGGATTTTACAGAAAAAGTTGTTCACTTCTACTCTTACTTTGATGTGGTCGATGAAACAAATCCTGTGGATGTAAATTTGGCTCCTGGTTGTCCTGTGTTAATGAGTGTATTTCATTCTTGGGTATACTGAAGATGTGGACAGGGTCCTTGGAGAGGGGAGGGCCACCCATGAGTACTGGATTCTTGTCTCCTTGTTTCATTAAAGCACCCAGGGGTTGGGTGGGGGACAGAGAGGTGAATGGATAAAAGGAGTCTTGAATAACTCCTTGTAGCAAAGTAGGGTCCTAGCATGCCTAAAGGAGGCAACCCTGAGACCACTGTTCAAAAAGTCTTCTTTAAATCCCATTTTACTGAAATGTCTCCAGTCTCCAGTGTTCCATTTCTGGGCAACATGTTGGGGTGTGTGTTAGCTTCCCAGCTCCAGGGATTCCTGGATTATATGGTTTACATGCATCTATTTCAATCTGTTTTCAGGCCTGAAGATATAATTGAGGCAGCTTTGGTTGCCTTTAACTTATGCCAGGAAATGGAAAGGGAGAGTATGTATCTGTTGGTTCTACCGGATTTCTCAGTGGCTTTTAATGCCATTGCTCCCAGTATCCTTCTGAGCCATCTCTCTAAAATGGGACTTGGAGGCATTGATTTACTGTGGCTTTAGTCCTTCCTGGAGGGGCAATCTCAGAAGGTAGTGCTGGGGGATTCATGTTTGAAACCTTGGCTTTTAGCCTGTGGTGTCCCTCAAGATTCTGTTTTGTCCCCCATGCTGTTTGACACATACTGTATATGAAACTGCTGGACATCTTTTGGAGTTCAGTGTCACAAGTATGTAGATAACAGCCAACTCTAACTCTCCTTTCTGCCCATTTCCAAGGAAGCTGTTCCTGTTCTAAACTTGTGTCTGTCATTGGTAATAGAGTTTGAAGAGCAAACAGATTGAAACTTAATCCAGAGAAGATAGAGGTGCTCTTATCAATCGAAAGGCGCATCAGAGAATAGGGAGATGCGATGCCTGATTTGGCTATGGTGACACATGCCTTTGTTACATCCTGTTTGAATTACTGTAATGTATGTGGGACTGCCTTTGAAGACAGCTTGGAAACTTAAGCTTTTTGAAAATGCTGTCTGGGACCGGTTACAGGGAGCATCTAATTCTCCTGTTACTGCCAGTCTGTTTCCAAGCCCATTTCCTTTTTACTTTCTAGTAACAGGTGAAGACCATCCTTTTAAGACAGTCTTTTACCAAGTAATTGGGTAGTGAAGACTTTTGATTTTAGATACTGTATATTATTTTTGTTTTATGTGTGTTTTAATGTATTTTTAACTTCTAACTAATGGGTTTGATACTATGAAATACTTAAATATAACCCTGTCACCCACTCATGCTCCAGTTGATCTCAACTGCTCCTTGCATCTCAGAAATCATAGTGCAAAATTCAGTTCCCTGTATCTGGTTTTACATCTAGGTACTCCAGTTTGCTGACTTCATTACAGGACCATGCTTCCCAAGTTCTGTGAATACTTACTGGGAGTGTGAATGGGGCTCCGCATGGGAGAGCTTATATACATTTAGCTGTATATATTTAGAAGCCTCTTGTGCAGATGGCAGCAATCTGAAAGCGCAGCTGACTGTTGTGTATGCACAGTCTGAATAATGAAGTCTAGAAAGCTATGTTGTGACTACTGTTTACATAGCTCTAAAAGCAGTGTTAAAAGGACTTTTGAGTACAGTAGTCCTTTTTAAAAGTGGTTAGCATGCAACTTAGATGCCACCGTGCTTTGCTTTATGCTATTTTACGCTTAGCCATTCTTCCTCCTGACTATTCTCAATTTTCTCCATTCAGGAACCATGATGGAAATCAACATGAAGAGGTTTGCTGCAAGCTTTGCACTTTGCCTAATGTTTTTTCTGGCTTGCAAGGGGAATTCAGAAAAAGGCAATGCTTCCCAGCTGCACTTTACGTACCCTCTCTACAACGCCACTATCTATGAAAATTCACCTCCCAAAACCTATGTGGAAAGCTATGTCAAAATGGGTATTTACATCACTGACCCAGCATGGGACATCAAATACAAAATAGCTTCTGGGGACACAAGTGGTCTGTTCAAAGTAGAGGATCATAAAGCTGGTGATTTCTGCTTTTTGAGGATTAGGACCAGGAGTGGTTATACTGACCAGTTGAACAGGGAGTTCAGAGACAAATACACACTGATAATCCAAGCCATGGAGAAAACGTTTGCCTTTGAGGCTTGGGCCAAAGTACTGATCCACATCCTGGACAGAAATGACTTGAAGCCTTTGTTCTCACCTCCATCTTATAAAATGACAATCAAAGAAGACGCCCCCATCAAAACCATAATTGGTGTGGTCAGTGCCACAGATGCTGACATTGGTCAGAATTCTGAGTTCTATTACGCATTAAATACAAGATCACCACTTTTTACAATTCACCCTACCAGTGGAGCTGTAACGACTGCTGCGAAACTGAATGCCACTCACAGAGGGAAGCATCAGTTAAAGGTCCTGGCCGTGGACAGAATGAGGAAGATCTCTGAAGGAAATGGCTTTGGAAACCTAGCCAGTCTCACCATCCAGGTGGAACCATCCATCAGGAAGCCCCCCGTCATTGGCTTGGTGACAGTGAAGTCATCAGATTCTGCCGAGGACCTCCTGTATGCTACTTTGAGTGTAGGAGCAGATGGGTCAGGAGGTGGGGTAGATTCGGTTAACATTGTGGATGGAGACCCAAAAGGGCATTTCAGGTTGACCAGATCATACATAGAAAATGAGTTCATGATAGTGGCAGCCAAAGAGATCAACTGGAATTACAATCCTCTTGGTTTCAATCTTAGCCTGCAGGCGAAGGACAAAAATGAGCCACCACTTCTTTCACAGATAGTCACTATCCAGATTCCACCTCCAAAATACACCTTTGCCAGATTTGAAAAAGATGTGTATCGAGTTCAGCTGAGTGAGTTTGCACCTTCTGGGAGTCATGTTGTTCTGGTTCAAATTACTCCAGTCCTCCCAAATCTTAAATATATTTTGAAACCTAATTCTGACAGCACAAGTTTTAAAATCAACCCTCAAACTGGATTGATAACTACAGACAAAATAATAGATTTTCAAGAACAGCCCCACTTTGAACTTGAAGTTACAACCAGTTACAGCAAGGCAGCTGTCCCTGTCATTGTTGATATTATTGACTGCAACAACCACCCTCCAAGTTTCTCCCAGCCTTCATACCATGGCAGCTTCGATGAAAACCTGCCGTCTGGCACCAGTGTCCTCTCCGTAAAAGCTACAGACAGGGACTCTGGAGAGAACGGCTTAATCACATACTCCATAGCCAATAAGAGAGCTGTCCCATTTACCATTGACCCATTTTCAGGTATCATCTCCACATCCAAGATAATGGATTATGAGCTCATGCAGAGGTGGTATCACCTCCGTGTCTGGGCATCAGATTCAGGATTTCCTTTTCGCCATCAGACAGAGGTTTATGTTTCTCTTATTTTGAATAACCTGAATGATAATGCACCAGTGTTTGAGAAGATTAACTGCAATGGAAGTATTCCATGGGACTTACCCACGGGGCAGCCTGTGGTTACAGTGTCAGCCATTGATATTGATGAGTTGCAGCACATAAAGTATGAAATCATGTCTGGCAATGAAAGGCAGCTTTTTGAATTGGATTCTGTATCTGGTGTGATTTCCCTTAGAGCTTCTCTCAGAGATAGCTATGCTGAACTACCTACTGTCCATATCCTCAACATTACGGCTACAGATGGAGAGAACTATGCCTTACCTACATGTGTAAACATCACTGTGGTCAAGCAGGAAACCCCCATTCACTTTCAGTGTGAGGAAACAGGGGTACTGAAGGAGGTTGCAAAGACCATAATACATTCTATTGATTCCCAATCTCCAGAAGTAAACCTGGATGAAGATTCCACCTTGAATACACATCTTATAAATCATCATGCACCATATTTTGATGACACCTTTCCAAGGTGCATTGATATAGAGGAGACAATCCCAGTCAACACAACTATAGTTCAGTTGAAAGCCATAGATAACGATACTAGCTTTAATGGAAAGATGGTTTATGTGATATCTTCTGGAAATGAGGATAGCTGTTTTTATATTGACATAGAAACAGGTCAGCTCCTAGTGTCTTCACCTTTGGACCATGAAAGAACAAGATTCTACGTACTGAACATCACAGTGTATGACTTGGGCACTCCTCAGAAGTCATCATGGAAATTGCTAGCAGTAAATATTTTGGATACAAATGATAATGCTCCTTCATTTTTGCAAAGTCCATACTTGATCACTGTACCAGAGGACATAAAAATAGGCACAACAGTTATAGCGGTGAAAGCTGAAGATGCTGATACAAATGACAATGGGAGGGTGAAATATTCTCTTCTTACACCCACTGATAAATTTGCCATCAACAGTGTCACTGGAGAGGTAGAAGTGACTGCTCCCCTTGACAGAGAATTGTGGCCTCAGTATATATTGAAAATTGAAGCCAGAGACCAGCCACTATTGGGCCACCAGCTCTTTGCAATTGCTGATTTGGTTATTTCTTTGGAAGATGTCAATGACAATTCTCCATATTGCATCCCCACCCTGAACAAAGTAAAGGCTCCTGAAGATCTTCCCCGTGGGACTGTTCTGCTATTCCTGGAAGCCTTTGATCCAGATATCATCTCTGCAATGGAGCTGAAATATACTCTGCTCAATAATGTTGAGAATATGTTTAAACTTAATGAGCTGACAGGAGCTCTGTCCTTGGATGCAGAACTAGACTACGAGAAGAGGGACTTTTATAATCTATCTGTGGAGGTTAGTGATGCTGGCAAGCCCCGTTCTCGTTCTTCTCTCTGCTTCATTGAGATTGAGATTTTGGATGTCAATGAAAACCTGCACCCTCCTCGCTTTGCTTCTTTTGTGTATGAAAGGACAGTGGAAGAAAACAGTCAAGACGGGACATCTGTGATGACTGTTACTGCTCAAGATGATGATAAAGGGAAAGATGGAGAAATCCAATACTTTATCAGAGAGGGAACAGATTTGGCTGTCTTCAGCATTGAAAAGGATTCAGGTAATAATGGGACTCTAGGATATATGGTGGGAGAGAGGCTCAATTGGTACTGCTTATTTCTTCCGAAGTTTTGATTTGCTAATATTTCCCACTTCCTATGCTCAATATTGTCTGTGTTTGCATGCTACTAGTAACTCTTATTCTATAGAATGAATCTAGCTCTTCTGCAGCAGCTATATCGTAGCTTCCATGGAAGAGGGCTTGATCATTAAGAGAATGACTGTTGCAGAGAATATGGCAAATCACATATTTTCCATAAGGCAAACAAATTCTTGGTCAAGTTACTTTTCTTCTAATCTTACTGATGTACAAGGCAAATATTAGGAGTGGGGATGTGGAGTGGACAGTACAGTACTCTTACGAGTGGATAATACTTTTACCATGTGTTTAGAAGTAGTGCTCCCTCCAGTACTGAAAGATTTTGTTCTCCTTACCACGTTTTCTTGCATTTTAGCATGCTTTGTTTCTGATTCATCACTGGAAGGTAGCTAAAGGCTTAATTTGTATTTTTTATGTACCAAGACAAGTATCTCTGAGGAAGTCATGGTGTCTGAGAGAAAATGTTCTAATGGCACAGAATACCCATTTCCCTAACATCTAATTCCAAAACACAAACTCTTTTGAATTCCAAATTTTCTTGCCACCCATTTCATAAAAGTCAAATTGGTGAGACTAAGATATAAGTGGCTGAACACATGTAAGTACAAAGTAGTGTCAGGATCTGATCCTGAATACCAAATCACATAGTTTTCCCATGAAATACAATCTGTCTAGAACTATATGTTGCAGATAGCCCACAGAAAAGGGCAAACAGATTTATTTCAGGGTGAGATTTTGTGTATATGGATATCTAGATTTTGGTCTACAAAAGCTCACACTGTAACAAATCTGTTAGTCTTTAAACCAACACAATATTTTGCATCCTGCCCCCTTCCTTTTGAGAACATGCTGAGACAGACTAACATGACAACTTATTTGGAAACTGAGCAAAGTGGGCCATAGGTGGGCACAGAAAATCACTTTAGCCATTGTGAGTTTTCAGACTTAATTAATATGATAGTTAAAATATAATTTTGGAAAAAAGAAACACTCTTACTAGAGGCCCAATATAACTGTAGCTTCACCAGATCTATTGTTATTAGCACAAAAATGACAAGTACATTTAGAAAAAGTTATTTAGAAGAGGTAGATTTTTTTAAAAAAAGATGTTCAGTGAAAATGCAGTGCCTCGAATCCTGCTACTATGAATGCTATGTCTGTGTAATTTGCTGCAGCCCATTGCAGCTAACTGATGGATGAGCTGCCAGGCTGTGTCTTCATTGTGTACATGTTCACAGCTGACATACACCTTGTCAATTATCCGCCATTAATGGCAGCAATAGTTACACAATCCTTATGCAGACACCAACAGGATTATGGCCAGTAACAAGATAAGGCTTGAACAGGGTGTTCATTTGTTTTTAACAGGCTTAAAACCAAATTAAGAGTAAGAAATCAACTTATTTTAAGTTTTCAAGAAGAAATTGTTTGTGTGGAATGCATAGAATTTTATTATTGTTTTTTTCCTTAGGGACAATCTTTACCACAAGAACACTGGACAGAGAATCCAGGTCTCATTATTGGCTGACAGTGTTAGCTGTTGATTTAGGAACGGTCCCTCTGTCTTCTGTGGTTCAAGTTTACATTGAAGTCACTGATATAAATGACAACCCACCCCAGATGTCCAGTCCTGTCTATTATGCCTCTGTCATGGAGAATTCACCAGCGAACACCCACATCCTTCAGGTAGAAGCCATTGATCCAGATTCAAGTTCACAAGGGAAGCTGACCTTCCACATCATAAATGGAAATCATCAAGGATTCTTTGCTATTAATCCTGTCACTGGTAAGAAATGCATACATATAAATATTGGATGTGGGGGGGATTGTTTTCTGTTAAAAATTTTCTGTTTGAGGCACTTTAGCAATATATGTTTGTGTATATTTGGAGTGTTTTAGGGAGTCCAGAGTGGTCTCTGATGCCTACAGTTTCCAAAATGTGAATTTCAAAATGTGATCCTTGCTTGCAAGAAATAATTCCAATTTACCACAGGTCCCATGCCAAGAACCCTGACTTCCTGGAGAGAATATATATTTTTAACTTCTCAGATTTGAGCAGAAGGAGGATCAGATAAACATAATTTTTTTAATTCAAGTTCTTTAGTGCTATGGGAATATAATTTATTTTATTTTTCATTTATTTATATATTCCACTGATTTATGTGGCCCCTTTCTCCTGATGGATGGATCCAAAGCACTTCATAATTTACATCAGAATGGGCAGATTATTATCTGAATATAGATTTTAGGATATAGTGAATTTAAAAATACTAATCCAGGAAACGCTGCTTGCCTTGGTTTTAGTTCTATGTGACTAATAAACTATGTATTCTTTCCTTTCTTTTTATCTGTTATCTATGTATGTCAACTAGTGTAGAATTTAAGGGAACACTTTCTGAATACACACACACACACACACACACACACACACACACACACAACTATACAGCGGACCCTCGACTTACAGATGTCTCCACTTACAGACTTTTTGAGTTACAGACTTCTCTGGCCGCAAAATTTAGGTTCGGCTTGCAGCCAGAGAATCAATCTACAGACT